GGCGCCAGTGAGCCCAGAGCCCAGCCTGGACCCCGATCATCTACCACCCACCAACCTGCTGGTGGCCATGGCACTTGCTCAGTCTGCCCCCTGGCCTCACGCTCCCTCAGGCTGAGTCTGCCGGGTCTTCAGACTGGACAATGGCCCCACCACCTTGGCCTCCTACCTGCTGGCCTGGGAGACCATAAACTGTCCACTCCATGACTCCTGCCTTGGAAGTGACCTAGGTCAGGCTGCAGTGGAGAGTGTGAGTCCTGGAGGCCTGGGGGGGAGGTGCAGGACTCCGAGATGTCCCTGAGGACCCTGTTTTCTTTATTTTCATTACAAAGTCAGATATACAGAGAGGAGGAGAGACAGAGAAGATGATTTTCTGTCCGATATTTCACTCCCCAAGTGACCTGAACAGCCAGTGCTGCGCAGATCCAAAGCCAGGAGCCAGGAACTTCCTCCAGGTCTCCCAAATGGGTGCAGAGTCCCATCTTCAGGCTGTCCTCAACTGCTTTCCCAGGCAACAAGCAGGGAGCTGAATGGGAATCGGGTCCATCAGCATTGGAACCAGTGCCAATATGGGATCCTGGTGCGTGAAAGGCGAGAACTATAACCTCTATGCTATCACGCTGGGCCCAGAAGTATTGTGGCAGGTGTCTGAAAGGTTCCTGTAAGAAGAAATGGCCATGGGCTTGCTTTAGCAAATAGCCCACCTTGAAGCATATTTTGGGTTTTTCAATTTTTAGCCTGTGGCCCATATAAGTATTTTTAGATCTATGAGGTTATAGGTTTGTCTAAATGTATATTAACCAGACCAGAGAAAATTTTCTTCTTGGTTAATGAACTGGAAGACTCTTTTGAAGGGGGACTGCTAATCTGTCAGCAACTCCTCCCTTCTTCCCTGCAGGAACCCCATTTTTAATCATCTTCCCTGGCACTTAGCATTTCTGCTTTCAGAATTGCCTTCATCTGCCAGGTGTTCCTGGCGATCACCTGACCTTGATGGCCAAAGGCTGTTCTGTGACCAGAGCACTGGTGAATGGATTCAGTTATCCCATTGTCCATTCCAGGACTCACTCCCAGATTAAGACTATGTCAAGAATTAGAGGACAAATCTGTGTTCCAGCTCTTACTTTTCCTGAGAGAGGGCATGCTGCTTCTGTACTGGCTGTTTGCAGAAGCAGAGCTGATGGTGACTTAGGAATGGTAGCATTCCATCTGGGGTGCACAGTACCCTAAGGAAGGAGTTTGTGTTGTGGAGTGCAAGAACAATAACACTGACCCAAGTGTAGGATGTTAGAAGAGTCTTGATTTCCCAAGCTTGGTGACAGCAGCTCCTGCTACACTCAAGCAGCCACTTCACCAAGCCACTAAAGTCAGGCTTTTTAAGCTTTCCTCCTCAAGATCAGACTGAGAGCAATGCAGGAGAAACAAAGTTTCAGGCCAGCAGGGAGTTACCAGAGCCCAAAGTTACAATGCAGTAACCTACAGGGGGCAGGAGGCAGGAGGCGCCAGGTTTCTGGGCCCTGTGCACTGTAAATTAACCTGATGAGCGGGTGCCATCAGTGGTGTCGCCCCATTACAGTTTGCTTACTGTGCCTTCAGTGGACTTGGGCCTGTACACCTACTCATTAGTGTGTCTGATTTAGGGTCTCTGGATACATTAGTGCAGGTTAGAACTCCTCTGTCCAATGCCAGCCTTGCTCAGAGAATTGCCTGGTTGGCTGCCAACTCTTGCTTCAGGGGTTGTCCTTCAGGAATCCAGATGCATGTGAACTTGGAGTTTGGTGTTTATTTATTTATTTATTTATTTTGTGCTTGGGCAGGCAGCTATGTGTGGAAATTGCTTTGACATATGAAGGAGTTGTGAGATCCTAACATGTAACAGAGTGTGAATTTCCCAAGATGAGTTGGGGTTCCTAACTAACGCCACTGGGAGAGGAACTCAAATCCTTTTGTTCCTCAGACTTTCTCACCAAACTCTCCACTTTCTGTTTTTCTAATATCTGCTAACTCCACCTACTTAGGATGCCGTCAGCACCTTAGTAGAGGGACAAACGTGATGATTTCAGAGCAGAAAGAGGCCAAAATACTGCAGCGTTGAGGAGGCTGGATTTAGACAAGTGATGTTTATACACACATCCAAATTAGAAGAGAAAACATATTTTCTTAGATTTCAAACACTAAACTTGATGTAAAGCAAAAATAAAAACAAACAAAAAACGTGCTACAAAATTGAATGCAAAACAACAGAAAAACAAAACATGAGAAACAAGATTGAAAGCATTGACACGATCCAGGATGAGCTGAGCCACTGATGAGCAAAGCCGGCATTCTTCACCATGAAGCCGGGATATTCACAGTGTGCTAAATCCCACTGCCCGACATTCAATACAAAGGCCTGAAAATCCCAGGAAGCAAGACACTGTTCCCCACCTGCAGAAGAATGATTGGTGAGTGCATTCAGCTCCATGAATGTGAGAGATAATAGGCAGAATTGGACACAGTAAAAGCTAAACCAGTAGGTACAACTGTTTCATACAAAGTCGACATGTAATGAAACAGAAACTTAGAAACAGACTAACCTGGGCTGTCGGGCTGTTGGCTGTCCCAGTAGCCTAGAAAGAGCAAAAGTCCTTGCCTTGAAAGCACCTAGATACTAGATGGGCGCCGATTCTAATTCCAGTGGCTCCACTTCCCATCCAGCTCCCTGCTTGTGGCCTGGAAAAGCAGTCAACCATGGCCCAAAGCCCTGGGACCCTGCAACCACATGGGAGACCTGTAAGAGGGTACTGGCACCTGTCTTCTGATCAGCTCAGCTCAGGCCATTGCAAACACTTGAGGAGTGAATCAATGGCTGAAAATTCTCCCACTCTGTCTTTCATCCTCTGACTATATCTGACATTCCAAAGAAAATAAATCAATCTTACAAAAAAAAAAAAATAAAAGAAAGAAACACAGACTTGACATGAAGAGTTCCCTGGAAGTGATTAACTCTAATTAGACTTTGGAAAAGATATGTAAACTTTTACAGAGAAGCTTTAAGAATGTTGCTTGTGGCTACGGTCCTCATCTTGCACACACCAGGATCCCATATGGGTGCCAGTTCTAATCCTGGTGTCCCTGCTTCCCATCCAGCTCCCTGCCCGTGGCCTGGGAAATCAGTTGAGGGCAGTCCAAAGCCTTGGGACTCTGCATCCATGTCGGAGACCCGAAAAGGCCCCTGAAGCCTGGTTTGGATGGGCACAGCTCCAGCAGTTTTGGCCACTTGGGTGGGTGGTTGAGTCAATGGATGCAAGATCTCCCTCTCTGTCTCTCCTCTCTGTAAATATGACTTTCCAATAAATTTTTTTTTTAAAAAAGGAAAAAAACAATGTGGAGCATTGTTTCCTGGGGAACATCAAGAGAGCAATATAACCCCGAGAAGGAATACAAACCCAAGAAGGAAGCAAATGTGAGATGAAAATATATTATTTTTGGAGTTTCAATGGCTGCCAAATCCTAAAATTTGAGGATAATTTTAAATCTACAGGATGAAAATACTCAATAAATTCCTAGTTCATCTCTCTCTTTCTCCCTCCCTCTCTCTCATACACACAAACACACACCATACAGAAAAACAAAAAGTCACATATTATTACAATTACCTAAAGTCAACAGTGACAAACTTTAATAAGGGCAAGTATTTGACAAAAGAGTTAAAATTCTATATGCATTAGTAGAGTGGACTCTGATCCTGGTACTTGGATAAAACAATTTCAAGGCTTTTGAGTAAAAGTTCAATAGTAGGATTACATGACTATGTTAAATTTCATTTCTAGTTTTTAAATTAAGTTCCAAATTTTTCCACACTAACTAAACCAATTGATATTTCCATCAATAGTATGTAAAGATTGCTTCTTAGCAAAATCCTCACCAGCGTATGTTACTACTACCTATATTGTTTTTCACAGTGAGAAAGTGTATTTACAAGTTGAGAAAGTCAGACACACAAAAACATTCTAGAAGATTTTCTTCTGTGCTTATGATCTATATATGTAGTAACTCAGCACTATTTATTTTCATCTAACCATATGCTAGAACCTCAGAAATTTTTTATCCTATGTATATGCAACCTATTACTCATGAATCTACTTGATCATTTCCTCCCTCCCGACTTTCTGAGTTAACATTTTTGAGGATTTTGTTATTTTCATTCTTCTGTGCTTACCTTATTTCAAGAACATAGTTCCCTCTGGGTGCATCAATTTTATTGCAAATAATAAGGCTGCTTTTTTATGGCTGAATAGTATTCCACAATAGAAATTATATAAAATATGGGGTAATATTATATAACTCACATATATTATTATACACAATTACATGTGAATATGTAATACAGTTCTATATAATAGAGTATACAATATAATCATCATTATGTAATTAATATATTATTAACAGGTAACAATAATATTGTTAGCAGATAAATTTTATTTCCCTTCAGTTTATACGTTGATGGTGATTTTGGGGAGATCAACCCGAGTGTAAGCCTAATCCTCATTTGCATTGTGTCATATCCTTGCTTTTGAGAGACTGACACATGCAATTTTCTTATGTGCAAGGAATAGTTTTCTTTGTTTAATTCAATCCTCTGTCTGCTACAAGTCCTTATGTCAAATCAAGGCCTGAAAAATAAGTTCACAATAGAGTTACATTTGGACAAATCAAGTCAACATAGGCAATCACCTGTGGCAGCCCTCTATCCCTTTAAATACTGGCTGAGCCCCCTGGGCTGAGTGATGTCACCAGGACATCCTAGAATTCCGAGGTCTTCGTTGTGATTTGAATCATAACAGTCCTGCTGCCATACTGCGTACCAGGCAGGACAGTGCTTGGGAGCCGCGAGCGTCTCCTGTGATTTGGTGTCCTCGGATTTTCATATTCTGTCTTTTCTTGATACCACCAACTACCTGACAGTAGAGTTACAGGTAGAAAGCTTAGCCTTTTTGAGTAACTCTTTAAAGAGTTGAACCATGGAGCAGAGAGAGAAAAGGAAACATCTGGAGCGTGAGTACAGTCCTCCAGCTGTAAAGAAATCAAGAGGTACGTGGAGAAGTGTTGTTTTTGGAATATGGTAACCAAGAATGCCTTCCGCAGGGGGGAAGAGTAGGTCCCTAGTAGTGGAGAAGATAGTTAAGGCAGGTGACTGGGACAGTGAAGTGAGGAAACAGGGAGTGAGGAGGAGTTGTCTATTCGTGGCTCTTTCTGAGAGCCCAGCTCGCTTTCAGGTGTCCCAGGGACAAGGTCTATGTTGTTTACACAAAGTTCAGGCGGGCCCGAATTTGGCCATTGGCAGCCAATTAGGGAGTGAACTGATGGATTAACGATCATCTTTTTCTTTGTAACTCTGATTTCAAGATCAATATTTTTCAGATGGTTATGGATAAGTACAAGCATATAAAATGTATTCCTTACTAAGGCGTAAGAAAGATGTTCAAGCATGAACATAAACTCATAAAGAATTGTTTCTTTACTAAGGGATAAAAACAAATTATTTGCTTTAGTCTATGCAAATGTAAATTGGATCTTTTAGGTTAATGTAAGACATAAAATAGGATGGGGCCAGTACGCTGGCTCCGTGGATAAATCCTCACCATGTAAACATTATGATCCCTTATTGGTGCTGGTTTGTCTCCCGGCTGTTCCACCTCCCATTTTGGCTTCCTTTTTGTGGCCTGGGACTGTAGTGGAGGATAACCCAAAGACTTGGGACCCATATGGGAGACCTGGAAAAAGCTCCTGGGTTCAGATCAGCTCAGTCCTGGCTGTTGTTGCCACTTGGGGAATGTAACAGTACTTGGAAGATCTTTTTGTCTCTCCTCTCTGTGGATCTGTCTTTCCAATAAGGGTGAATAAATCTTATATAAAACAGGAAACAAACATACATAGTCCCATTTAGACACACTGATTACATGGGAAGTGGGGTTTGACTAGGGAAATATAGGCAATTGGCAGTTATGGTTACCATGGAACCTAACCAAAAAATAAACAACTCATTAGACAGGGCAACTGCTCAGTGGGGGGAGCTGCAGACTGAAGCCAACTGCAACATTCAAAACTCTAATTCATATAACATAGGAGTATTTGATATTTTCAACAAAATTTTGAGTTTTCCATATTCTGATGCTCACTTTGAGAGGGTATCAAGAGTGAATGACTTTATTTCAACTTCACTAAGATTAGCGCATATTAAAAGATGTCATTGAGTGTAAACAATGAGACCTGTAGAGCAAGGGTCATAACTTAGATGCTGTACACACAACTATACATGCATAAGATGCATGAGTAAGAGGGACAGAAGTGTGATATTGAATATATTTGTTTACATGCTGTCTACCCATTGTGATTATCTGACTCTCAAAAATGCCATTAGAAATTAGGCAATGATAATTTATACATGATTGATCTATTTCTTTTCTGTATAAGAATTCAGGGTTTATGTGCGGGTCAAGTGGGCACATTTCCTCCATATGATACTTTATAAGCCATCAGAGCTGAGTCACTCCAACATCCCAAAACAGGAGAAATGCTTCTGTAATAGGAGTGCTAAGGTTTTCAACAGTATATAGACTTTATTTTCTGAACTAATAGGCATGCCTGTTCTCAACATTTAGCATGTGATATTCAGAATATGTATAAGTTAAAGAAATGAAAGAAACACATTGTTCATCGAATGACTGTTGTTCCATTCTCCATCAATCACAGATTTACAGAAGAGGGAGTCACCACCTGGGAGCGTTTTGGATGACAAGATCCTGGTCCAAGAGGAAGAAGATCCATCTGGCAAGTTGCAGTGCTACACCCGTGACTCCAGTGTGTGCACGCCTTATGATGTTGGTAAGGAGGCAGGATGCTCAGATAAATCAGGGAAACGGGAGGGAGAGCAGATCTGTAGCCACTAAGTTGATCAACATTTCTCAGAGAAACTCAATGACAGCAATATATGTATAAGGTGCAGTTTCCAAGATGAACTGTAGTACTGTCAAGAGGGGTTATCTACATTTTTTAAGATTAAGGTGACGAGAAAAATGTAGAACCATTAGTGGAGTAAATCTGTTCAGCAAAAATACATTCAGAGGAATGAAGACCAGGAACCAACTCTGTGCAAAGAGCTTAGTAGGTATGAGATTGAATACTAAAACACCTCTACAAATAAGTGCACTTGTACTGACAATAGTAGATTAAATAAAAAGCAATGTGTGCACTTGGTCATCAAGTTCAAGTGAACTACATAGCCCAACCATGATTGGCTTCACTTTCCCTCAAATATGTGCAACTGCTTCCCAAAGAAAGGCTAATATTGATGTCTTGAGGGAAGGACAAATAGGGGCCATTCCTCTAGGAATAGGACACAGCCCCTCAGTACAGAGTCACCACATTTGATGTGATCGTAACCTCCCCAGCAAACTGAACACCTGCCCACATGTTCTACTGCTTCTCCCCAGGAACCCAATTTCTCCTCCTGTTAATTTGCTCTTTCAAATTAAGTAGGAGTAATTACTACAAAGCGTGTACTCCATGGCTTTCCCATACACCATTTCTCCCAAGGAAAAGGAAGCTCATCATGGATATCAGACTTTATTAACTGACTTCATCTTCTGTTTGGGCAAGCTTCCCACTTTTCAATATTCTGTCAACATCCTCAGCAATGTCACATAACAGATACTCAATCCTACGGATGTCTACCACATACACAATTTTAACAACTTCTCTATCGGTAGCAATTTGCAATATGGTTCAGCTAAGTGTGAGAGCAAGTCCCATGATGGGTGGTGGACAGGGAGGAGACAGTAATGCCTGAAGCAAAACAGCCACTTAGTATGCTCCTTTTAGAATAGACACAGTTAAGCCATGACACAATGTGTTTTCTTGTAATTTCCTTCTCAGACTTCCAGCTGCTTCCACAAGATGTGCCTGAGCCATGTGAGGTCGTGGAGATTGAAACCCGCAGCCAGGCACCAGGAGTCAGTGATTCCAGCTCCAAATCAGTCTCCTCTTCAAGCACATCCAGAAATTCTGATGAAGAAGGTAAGACAGATGCAAATGGAATGTCTGAACAAACATAGGCTATTCAGTTAATATTCAGGACACCCCCTAATTACCTCACACTTACTTCAGTTACACAAAAGAACTTCAGGAAAGAGTAAGACTGAAGCCTTGGGGTGGGACAAACAGACAATGTGTTCCCAAGAAAGAGCACAGTCCTTCAGCACAGCATTGTCCCAAGTGAGTCCTGGGAGAGCTGGCTTCATTGGCTGAGAGTGCCAACAGGTGTATGGAAACTTGGCTGGAATTTCCCCATGCAGACTGGCACACACTCATGTTCAGAGATCTCTACAGGCCTCTTCAGCTCAGACCAAGATGATGATTTCTCCTTTCCTTTAGCTGTTCTTTTCATGACACTTCTCATGCCCTGCGACTCTTATTCTTTCTGTAGACTCATTACATGGGTACATCTTATATCATCCCCCTTGCAAACAGATTTTCAGGCCTAACCTGTTACTGACTAATCCCTTGAATACCTTTCATACACTCACAGGACACCTATCTTCACCAGCCCTGGGACTAGACGAGACTAAAGAAAATGCTTGCAATTTGAGAGAATTAAGTTTCTGAGGTAGCCTTTCTCTTATGTCGCCACATTCACAATATCTGCAGGCTTTCAGAGCTGCATGGTTTGAGAGTCATGTGTACTTCCTATGACACTGTCTACTCTCTCAGACAGCAGCAAAGCTAACAACCATGCCTGTTCTTGCTCAGCTGTGCTGCACATTAAACAGTGCACACACACACACTACCTTTTACTAACACTAGAAAAATATACTGAGTTTGTACAAGATCACAGAATCATCTCTGGCAGATATACCATGCCCCTATTGTCACATACAAGCCTTACCAATTCCATTTCATACAGGACATATCATTTGAAGACATCTGTAAGTGTAGAATCACATTTGTGCACGCACCCATCACACACATCCCATGCGCAGGGATACTCAGAGTGCCCCAGAAACACTACATCTTTATGCAAACTTAATCACGTTTTCTAATGGTTGAAACTTTCCTTCTTAGAAATGCATCAAAGCCAGAAGGAAGATCTCGGTGTTAGACCCTCTGACAAGCCTTTACCCCAGGATGTGGGACAGAAGAGCTCCACTACCTGGAATGATATGTGCTTTCATGTGCACTTAGCCAATGAGCCCTGCTCAGATGCATTACATATGAGAAAGGAGCGGGCCATGAAAATCTATTACATGTATGTCAAAAGGCAGAGAGAGGCCAACACTGTATATAACACACAGGAAGGCTTGTTGCCTCCCAAGAAGAGGGCAAGAGTGCAAGAACTGAGCTGCATTGGCAAAGTCCCTTCGGAGGCCAGCTCTTCTTCTGTGCTTACAGAAGATATGATCATCGACAATGAGGCCAGTTGTGACACCACAGATGAAGATGATTTCAAGGCTGAGGGCCCAGCAGAGCTTCTAGCCCTGGAGGAGAAGCCCAGAATAAAGACCCCTGAGTGGCTCTTGTGGCCAGAGCATGGCTTTCAATGCATGGCCTGCTGCCGAGTGTTCCCCAGCCTGGACATCATGGAGGAACATGTAAAGAATGGAATCAAGGAGGGCTTCAGTTGCCGCATTTTTCATCTGGCCTTTGCCTGGATGAAATCAAAAAAAGAATAAACAAGAAGACAAAGAAAAGGAGAACACAGAAAAACCAGGCAGAGTACACCTATGTATGCAAGGCAGAAATGTTTCTACATGAGGAAAACATCAAGCAAATAAGCAAAGTGCTTTCAGCCTGTGAGAAAGAGGACAGGCAGTAGCTTCACTGTGCTGACACAGCTGCATCCACTCCAAGCAGCTGGAAGACCTGCTTTTCATTGCACAAACCCACCAGCTAGTGACCCACAGGACCATGGAACCCTGGCAGATGCCATGTGCAATTCTCTACAGAGAGAAAGAAAGGTAGGCAGACCCTAACATGAAGACATTATGCCCTCCAAACAGTAACAAACACCCTGATGTTACCACCAGCCCAGGTGAGAGGAAACTCACACTCGGGAAATACAGACTGCTGTCATCTGCAATTAAAACAGGTGAGAGTTCACAGGTAGGAAAGCATCCCCAAACACTCAGCAGTCATGGTTTGAGACAAGTGGGATCAATAGGATATCTGCTTGGTTGACAACACTAGGGCCAGTGTCCTGTCCAGGTCCTGCCAGGGAGTTGCAGCAAAGGCTATTTTAGCAGCTCAGCAAAACAGAGCAGCCTGCACTCTCTTTCTTAAAGGATGCAATATTTGGAGTAGCCACACCTGCTTTAGCAACAGTCCTTGGCTCAATTCTGTGAAGAGCAAGACAGACGAGAGGGCTCTCTGACCCTGAGGAAGCGTGCATGTGTGCACCAAGGATGGGGCAACCCCTTTCCTGAAGGTAAGGCCTCAGGCTCTGTTCTCAGATGTTCATGCCCAGGAGCAGCTGAATAAGAAACTAAGACCCCTTCAAGACCCAACACAAGTAGGATCTTTATTTGTTTCTTGGAGAAACTCTCCATGACATAAGCTAAGATTGAGGAATGAACCTTCTTTCCTCAGGGTGGGCAGGGGTCAGAGGACAGAGAGGCACAGGGGCTCCTTGCCAGGCAGCTTTGTTCATGATTTTCATCCTGGGGGTGGGGGCACATGTATTCATCCTCACAATGCTTATAGATACTTTCTGTTACAGAATGAAGTATTCTGTTATGAAACAGCAGCAAAGACACTTGGAATGCAAACACCACTGCAAAGAGTTTGCAAAACCAGCTTTGTACTGCAACAAATGTGTATTGGGTTAGCTGGTTGTCAAACAAGGAGCTTTTGATCCATATTCTGAATGCTGTTGATAGAATGGGGAAAAAGAGTCTTGAATTCCTTGATCATGCTGGGGATTCTGAAAGAGACTAAGTCCTAGTCATGTCAATATCTTAGACTGCCTTCCTCAGAGAACTGATAGTCTTCCTTGTTTTGATTTTCTTGTAGTGCCACAGGTTCACTTGCCTGCATCAAAGGTGACTGTTACTACCTAAGACAGCCTTCTTTACACCCTGACAGCATCATGTGAGGGCTGCTCTCCAGAAAGAAGCAAAAGATCCTTCGTTGCAAATCCCCAACTCATTGGTGAAACTGTGGTGCCAACAGGAAGGAGAATATCCAGGCATTCGAAGCCCCTAGGTACTGTGAAAATACATCCTCCTGAGGTATCTGCCTGCCAACCCCTCAGGAGGCCATGGCACCATTGATGACATCTTACAGACTATCTTGTGGAGACACACCAGGACACATAGGACATAGATGAAGATCATGGGAAGTGAACTTTACATTTCAGAATCCTGGTAACAGCTCAGCAGGAATTTGGAATGGAGATCGCTCACCTCACTGAACATTTAGGATATCCTTGTTTATCTTCCCATTGAGCCCTCTACCTTAAGACCATTTCATTTCATGTGCACTTGAACACCTGGTGCAAAAGCTCATGCCCCAGAACAGACACTGCTCTCTGTCCTCACCTTCACTACCTCTCCTTCTGCCCTCACCCACAGGCACACCACTATGTGCTTGATGCAGAAAGCAAAATCATCTAGGACCTGAAGGATGCAAACTGTAACATCCAATCACTGAGTTCCATTTACTCTTTGTGTTCTTCAGCAACAATTTGATACATGTTTCTGCATCCTTTTTAGCACAGACCTTATCTCACATTCCTCCTAATATTCTTATCGGTACATTATCTGGCCAAGGACCAAGATTTATTATCAGAAGAGGGAAATCAGATGCTATATGGATGAAACCAAAAGCAACTGGCACCTAGTCCTTGGCTCTTCTGAGCAATGCACGCACAGGGGAACAAGTGCTGCTTCTGCACTCGCAATGGAAGGATGGAACACATCATCAACCACTCAAGACACTGAAATCTATGGCTCTCTCTCCTTTCTTTAAACTGTTCTTTTCATGACACTTCTCATGCCCTGTGCCTCTTTTCCTTTCTGTAGACTCATTACATGGGTACATCTTATAACATCCCCCTTGCACACAGATTTTCAGGCCTAACCTGTTACTGACTAATCCCTTGAATACCTTTCACACACTCACAGGACACCTATCTTCACCAGCCCTGGGACTAGACGAGACTAAAGAAAATGCTTGCAATTTGAGAGAATTAAGTTTCTGAGGTAGCCTTTCTCTTATGTCGCCACATTCACAATATCTGCAGGCTTTCAGAGCTGCATGATTTGAGAGTCATGTGTACTTCCTATGACACTGTCTACTCTCTCAGACAGCAGCAAAGCTAGCCACCATGCCTGTTCTTGCTCAGCTGTGCTGCACATTAAACAATGCACACACACACACACACACACACACACACACACACACACAAACACTACCATTTACTAACACTAGAAAAATATACTGAGTTTGTATAAGATCACAGAATCATCTCTGGCAGATATACCATGCCCCTATTGTCACATACAAGCCTTACCAATTCCATTTCATACAGGACGTATCAAATGAAGCAGCACATTTGTGAATAGCAGAAGAAGGAAATCAGATGCTATATGGGTGGAACCAAAAGCAACTAAAAACTACTCCTTGGCTCTCCTGAGCAACGCACACGTAGGTGAACAGGTGCTGCTTCTGCAGTCACAGTGGATGGAACTCAAATCTTAAGTCCAAGCATGTGTCCCTCCAACCATGTTTCCATTTCAAGCTCAGACACCTAGGATCGTAAAAGCTAAATATTTTTTTGGAATATCTCATTGCATGTTTCATTTGTTCGCTATTTCTTATTTCACTCTGTGTTCACACACAAAAAGTGTCACTTCTCACCTGCACAAAGCTATAGAATGGACTAGAAATGGGAATAACTCAGCTTTCAAATGATGGTTTAAGCTTTTATCCTTTTAAAATTAGTAAAGCTTGAGACTGGCAGGTGGGCATCTGTGGGGATACATACATTTGGTTATCTTGAATTGACTGATCATGTGTTCCTTCCTTCCTTCCTCATATTTGTGTGTATGAGAAGAGTAAATGAACCCGTGTGTGAGAGCTCATCAGGGATGAGAGGTGGACTGCTCTTGCTTTTGCTTTTGTCTGCCTACTGGCTTTCCCCTCTTCTTTCATACAAATACCTCCACTGCAGCTCTGTGCATGGGCAAGTGAGCAGTCCAAAGAGTGAGGTCTGTTCTCCACTTGGCTACTGGGACTGACCTAGAGGTAAACATCTGTCTGTGTCAGACCACTCCAAGCTGTATAGTGACATTCAGAAAAAGAAACATACTACATCTTTAAATGCCAAAAAACACAGAACAAGCAGTCCTGACTGAGGCTGTGGGCTTTTGCTTTGGGTTACCTTTAGTCTCTGAGTTTCATGGTTCTCTGCTGCTGAACTTGAGTCAACCCTCTTTTCTCATTTGCCCGGATATGATAACTGCTGCTGCATTTTGCTAAGCATCCTACTAAACATCTATGTTGGACCAATCTATACTACATCTTTTAAGACACAGACAAGAGAGAGATTTTGCTGGTTTTTCCTAAGTCATTATCTGCCACTTGCATTGAGTTTCAACAATTCTCTGCCCTTGCAGTTTCTCCGATTACTTTTTTTTTAAATATCTCATTGTTTTGTTAGTTGAATTTACTTCACTTTCAGTAAACTGTCATGTTGTGTCTGTTATCCTGAGTCCTTTACTGTTGTTACTTATGCACATTAGCTTTAACATGGTAATTTCTTTCATTTTAATCACTGAAAGCCTATATTCTACAAAGTACAGCAAAGCAAATTCCTTACATATTATGTTAAAGCAGTTGGGTTTTCTTGAGCTTAGAGGACATGGTATGGCCTTAACTGAGTAAGGATTTAAGAGTCAAGATATTTCAACATCTAAATAAAAAGATGTGGTTTCAATACAGTAGAGCTGGGGTTAAATTGCTTTAAGAAGAGCCAGATCTCTTAATGTGAAAGCTGATAGTATAAAGTATGATATTTAAATAATACAGTGATAAATGTTTGAGGCAGTTTTTGTGAGTGCAATAACACAAAGAATAGCACACAATGCGGTCCCTGATATCCATAGCTATTCAGCACAGTTTTTTTTAAAATTTTTACTTGTGTTTCACATGCTGTGCCCATCATCTAATGACTTCTGCATTACAGAGGATGAGATTAGCATTCAGAACAGTGAAACATCTTAAATGCAAAATCCAGTGTGGCTCTACTCTGTCACACTCTAGACATTCATGACACTTTTATCTCAATGTGACACATACATCATGCCTAGACATATTTTAAACCCAAGTTGGGCTCTGCTGAATAGTAACAACACCTGTGTTGATGGGCTACTGTGTGACATTTCAGTACATGTACACAGCATGCACTGATAGATCAAATAGGAGTAAATGGAAATTTTCCCTTTGACAAGAGTTTCTGGTTCAAGGCTTAGAGCCAAAGAATTTCTGCTCAAAAATTTTATAGAGGTTATTGTGAACTAAAATGTTTCCACTATGCTATATAACACTAGGAACTAATCTTTTAATCTGATTCTGATTTGATATTTATAATCCAAAATTCCTCTACGTCTTCCATCCCTCCCAGCCTCTACAAAATCACAATTCTCTATTCATCTTGAGGCTTTCATTATTTTAT